ACTCGCAGTGAGCTGAGTTATCTTTATTGAGGAAAAAGGCACCCCCGTTATATAGATAAATTTACATAAATGAAAATAAGAGAAATACAAAATATAAGTACTATCCTATAGGTAAATATTATCTATCCTATAATTATTATACTAAATATCTGTCCTTCGTTGTTATAGTTTTTATCTATTCTATACTAACGATCTTTTCGATTTTGTAGATCGGTACCAGGGCTTAAACGACCATAGTAATTTGCCGGCCATGCATAAGTTTCGTTCTTGATCTATAATAGATATAAAATTTAATTGGCTAAAATAACAAGTCAATGCGCGATTAGCGTTATGAATAACAAAAGTTGTTAATTTATATACGTACGTACTAATTTTGATGAATCAAAAAAGACACCTTAAACAATAACCGTGACGCAGTAAATGGCCGGCAAATTAATATAGTCGTTTAAGCCCTGATCAGTACTGTTACTATTGTTTTTGGGAGAGCGTTATACAATTAGCGCCGGGTTTTAGCTCCAATAGTTAACTTGGGTGATTTTTATTAACGAATTTTATAGGGTTTAATCGTTGTATATCGACTATGTTCACGTGGGGTTACGGAAATCAATTACGGTCAACTCTCATTATATCGACATAGTCGGTATATTGAGAGTATCAGGTTACATATCCATATATGTTTAAATTAAATTGCAGATCATTGATTTTATAAAAGTGCGATATAACAAGAATCATGTGCTAACTGCTATCACGGGATGCAGATCAGTGTCGGTATATGTCGATATATCGCGAGTGAATGAAAGTAAAATGAATTTAATTGTGTTTATGTTTTTATATTACTATAGTTTTCTAATTCTATACTGATATCTAATATAAATAAATTGTGCTAATTATGAGCTAATTATTTTGAATGATAATAGTCTTAATTAGTTTTTTTTCCAACTTATTTTATCTCGATATTGGACTTAGATTACATTCGTCCAATTCAGTTCAATTATTGAATTAAAGAGTATTAGATGTTAGACATGATCTAATACATATCATATATGTATATTGTAATTTTGATATAAACTTCAATATGTTTATGCGAGTAGTTTCACTTAGAGATAGTACCCGTATAAGAGTCACTTAGGCAATGTGTATAAGATCCGTTAACCAGGTCAACCTACTGCTATACACTTGGATAACCCGAATTAATTAGCAAAAATAAATATTTATTAGACTAGCTAGTTGATTCTATGAAGAAACGGTTTAACAATTTTAACAAACTCAGCTTCAAAAAGCACTATACAAATCAATTATTTTATAAATGTAATAATTATTAGATCATTTCTCTATGCATTGCTAAGCTAATTCAATATCGTATTCAGAAGTTCCAGAAGCAAATTCTGGCTTAATCCATGATTAATCTCAATTGCAAGTTTGATATTAGAATCACATCCATCAAAGGTCTTTGGTTGATATTTCAGTTATCATAATACCAAAGCTACAAATATCAACTGTTTGTGTAAATTCATATAACTTCTGGAGAAATATAAAACATAACACTAGGGTGTTCAACATTCTAATAAATTAAAAAATAGTTAAGATACTATACTTTCTGATTTTTTAAAAGTTGATTTCACATGTAAATTTATATATGAATTTGCACTGATTTAGGTACATTTTTTTTACTCATCTAACAGGTAAAATTGCATTGTATTTTTTTTTTTAAACTATAGCTCTAGACTAGCTTTATACTGTAATAGAACTATTTTTGCAATAATTGATGTTAATTTTTTATAAAACTTTTTTAAAAGTTATTACAAAACCAGCTCTATTACAGTGTAGAGAGCTATATTTTAAAAAAAAATTCAATACAATTTTGTCTGGTAGGTAGGTAAAAAAAAATACTTAAATAAGTGCGAATTTATATATAAATCTATATGTGAAATCAACCTTTAAAAGATCTAAAATATAGTACTCTAACTATTTGATTTTATAATAAATGTTTATAAAGGATTCAGATTGAATGATAATAGTTATTAAGGTATTTAGTTGGTATACAATTTATAAGGATGTTATTTATTACTTCATTTATGACTTATCAGAATTCTCTCTAAAAATTATTAATTTAGCTGTTATATTTATATATTATAGTCTGAACAAGATCTGTGGTCTCAAACCAAGATTTGTAGTATTTAAAAAAATTTATTTCTTAATAGTTATACAAGTAGTTTTAATATATATGTGTTTGTGATTTCCTAATTAACTTAAAAAAAATTTTTAAACCGATTAAAATTTTAAAATAATAAAAAAATGCATATAAGAAAAGAAAACTTACAAAAAAAATTTTAAAATAGTTAAATTTAAAATAATAAAAATGCATATAAGAAAAGAAAACTTAAAAAAATTTTTTTTAAAAAATCATAATAATTAAAAATGTATATAAAAAAAGAAAACATACAAAAAAAATAAAAATAAAAAATGCATAAAAAAAATACATAAAAAAAAAAAAAAAAAAATTTAATTTAAAATAAAATCTTAATTAAACTTAAAATAAAATCTTAATTAAACCTTAAAAAAAAATTATAATAAAATTTTTAATCATTCATATTATAAATTTTTTGCTGAATTACATAAAGAAGTTTTTTCTCATTATCATTAATTTTTAAAATAGAATTTTCATTTACAAATTGTAAGAGATTATCTATGCTATCAATAGCATTTTTAACTGCAATTTGTTCTTTTTCATTTACTTCATCATGAATTATATTAATAATTTCTTCATTAGTTAAATCAACATTTCCAGATATATTATCAATATTAATATACTCATCTACATTGAGTATATTATCATATGGTAGTTTATTCATTAAATCTTGAATTTCTTCTTCAGTTTTTTGAGTATCGATTGTTAAATCATCAGTAATAGTGCTATCTGATGATGGTGTTGATGGTACTGATATACTATCAAACATTGAAGGTAACAGTATCTCAGTTTTTTTCCAGCAGTTAATAATTGTTTCACAAGAAACCTTGTTCCAAGCTTCAACTAACCAATCAATTGCTATTTTAATATTTATTTCTTTAGATGATTCTTTAGTAATATATATCTTGTTAAACTCATTTAGCTGGAATTGCAAAAGACATCTACAATATTGTGCCTATAAATAAATTATAATAATAATTAAAATCTAATTAAATAAAAAATTATTTATTATTGATCTTTTTAAAAATTAAAGTAAATTTAAATAAACCTAATATAAATTTGAAGAAAATTTTAGACTGAACCTATAATTTATTCAAAATAAGCTTATATGAATTTATAGTAAATTCATAATAGGTTTAAATAAACCAAAATAAGCTTATTTGAACCTAACTACATAGTTTCAGGATATACTAATCTGAAGCCATTTTTAGATTTTTAAAAAAATTTCTGAAACTCTGAAACTTAAAACCTTTTAACACCTATAATTGGGTATTATTCATCATATAACAAGCAGTAAAAAATTGGTTCCTAAAGGTTATGATATAAATATGTAATAAACAGGTATTTAAATACGAATGTGATCGAGCAAAAATGTTTTAGCAAATATAAAAAATTTGACAATATTAATATGCTGCACAAAATAAATACATATATTGTATAATTGGATCCATATCATTTCACTAACAATTATTTCATCGTTAGCTCATTTAGCTAACATCACGCCAAGTGACAATTTACTAAAAATATATATCTAAAACTAATAAAACCCTAACCTTAAACTATGTGATGTCAGCTAACTGAACTTTTGGTGAAATGACTGTCAGTAAAGTGAGCAGCACTAGTATAATTAGAGTTTCAGATGAGAGTTTTAAGTTTCAGAAGAGGTTTCATATTTTGGGAGAGGTTTCGAGTTTCAGAAGAGATTTTAGGTTTCAGGAAAGGTTTATAAAAGTATAATCCAAAACCTGAACCTTTCAGATTTTAGCAAAAATCAACAAAATAAACATATTTATTTACTATATTGTCACAAATAATGATGTGCTATTTATATGATATCCAGATTTTTTTAGCGTATAGTACATACAGTATGTACAGTACATATAGTACGTATAGTATGTATAGCATATGCAATATATATAGTACATATATGATATATAAATTATCTATATGCAAAATTTCACAAGGAATAATTTTACTTAGAATACAAAAGGCGGTTTCATAAGGAAGCTTTTGAGATATGAATGGTTTTATAATTTGTTCTAGAATATTCTAAAATTTTTTTTGTGTACTGTACTATACACGGCACATCACTAGTTATAAAACAATATCCATGGTCATTATTTTGAATAATTCTGTAGTATAAATTAAGTTTAATTTAAACTAAAATTCAAAATCATATCTATAAGCATTATTTCGAATAATACTATAGTCTAAATTAAGTTTAATTTAAACTAAAATTCAAAATCACACTCATAAGTATTTATTTTTGTGACTATGTATATAGTAAATATTTGAATATGTATAAAAATTATGATTACCTTAAATGAATGGATAACACCCGCATCTAGGAGTTATAGGTGAGCAGTTGTGTAGGCTGATAATGTATGCAGTGTAATGTTAGATAAATCTGATGATTTTAAACTACTTTCACTAACATGTGGGGATGCTTTATCATATAAGAGAATAATAAACTTGTTTTGGGCTTCCATATGAGAATTTAGGGCAGTTAGAAAGCAGTTCCAAATCTCAATATTCATTCATGCAGCTTTATTACTATAATAATCAACTAGTAGATCTTTTATGTTTATGTTTAATAAAGCTCTTAGGTTTTTCGATTAGTAAATGATTAGAGGCTTAAGTTTATCAGTACCTGTTAATATTAAAATTAAATTAAATATATATTTCAATTAATTAAATTATATAATTATAATTATTTGATATAAAGGATATGAGATATATATTATTAACTATGAGAGTATTATAATGAATCTGGATATCTTATGATATTGTGATCAGACAAAGCTTACACCATTTGATTCTTTTTACTGAGAGAAATCAGATAGTGTAAATCATGATCATAGAATCACTTTATATCTTGATTTATTATTATATTTCAAACTATATACATAGTTGGAAATAGAATTAATTTCGTAAATTAGTATAGTTAAAGCATATACTGTATTTTTTATCATATTATTATGAACTATAATACTGCAGTACCATAATATATATTATAGTCAAAATGCTGTAATTTTAAAAATCATACTATACAGCCTCTCAAAAATTCTACGCAGCCTGTGCAGTAGCCTATTCCTAATTATAGCTGTGTTACAAAACAAATAGGTGAAAAAATTAAGTAATACAGTCAAAGAAAATATGACTTAGATCTTCAATTTTATTATTTATTATTTATTAATTTTAGCCTACAAAAAATTCATACGTATTAAATATAATTATCTAATATGTATCTTGTATATTACTGTTAAGGGCAAATATAATAAATAATAAATAATAAATTAAAAGCTAAAAGTTTTATCTTGACACTAATCAAATATTGTTGCAACACAATTTTAGCCAATTACAGCTTCAGCCAATCTTAGCTTTAGTTAATCTTAGCTTTGGTCAAACTTGGCTTCGGCTTCAGTCAAGCTCAGTTTTGAGCCTTGGGCCAATCTCTGCCTTAGCTAATCTCAAATTTAACTAATTTCAGTTTTAGCTAATCTCTGCTTTAATTATAGTAAGTATTTATTTTTATGTATTGCCATATATATAACAAAAATTTCAAAGATTTATAACCAAATATTCAAATAATCATTCTAGTTAACAAGCTTTTTGCCTCAATACTTTTTTTATATTAGCTATAAAAATCTATAACTATCAAAATAAATAAAATGTACTTCTTAGAATCTATTTAAGTAGATTCTATACGTATTTAGCAAGATTCTATTTTAACACACAATATAAGTATATAATAATTGCAATATTACAGCATTATAAGTAGAGTTGGTGATGCAATTATATTTCTAGTGATGCTCCACTGGTAGCTGCGAAACTTTCTAGTGCATAGCATGCTATTAGGGTGTACCACTAATATTATATAGCTAGTAGTGATAGGCAAATTGCGATTTTTTAAAATATTTCGCATAGGATGCAGCTTATATATATAATCTGTGTGTGATGCATAAGATAGAGATTACGTACTCTTATGGGTTTCTTAAAATTTTGTTAATGTGGACTAGCTAGTCTGAATTAGAAAACATACTATTAAAAATCACACGCAGGATCTAAAAAATCATATGCATTTTGCATGCATAATCTATCCATGATTCATGTAGATCCTATGCATGTCTATCACTAATAGCTAGCTAGCAGCTACATACATACCTATGTATATTTATTTTACTTCCAGGGATATAAAATCACATCTACTACTAAAGATGCTTGACAAACCTATTTTTGAATTGATAAAATGTTTCATCAAATAATGATCCTAATGAAACTGTTAACAATTGACGAAACTGTTGATGATTGATGAAACTGCTGATAATTGATGAAACTATTGACAAAACTGTTATTAATTATAAAAAACAAAATATTACACTATAAAAAGATGATATATAGCTTTATTTATTACCTTTATAAACTTTTATGACATGTTTTCCTAAGTGCTAAAGGTAAAGTATTTTTTTGTGTCAGCAGGTAAGATCTATTGGATATCTTCGAGTAATCGACATCTTTATCAGGTAATATCAGATATATTTCATAAAAAAGAAAAAATAACAGATGAAAAAAATAGAAATGGGTAGATATGATAATACAAACAAAAATATTAACCTCGCATAGGTCAATTTATTTCATTATGAAAGAAAAGAATGATTTTTTATGCTTAATTAATCATCATGGATTTCATCGTGAGTTTTGTCATTCATCATAGGTTTCGTCATTCATTAAATTGTCATTCAGAAATTGCTTGATGAATAGTTTTGTCATTCGTCAATAACGAAAGTTTTGTCATTCATCAGGTATCTTTATCTACTACACATTATCTGCCCCAAACTTATGTTTTGAATGATTTTATAATTTTCTTTAGCTTTTAACTCAGCACACTCATATTTTGTTGTTCATTCAATGTCTACATCAGGAACTTTCAAATTAGTTTAATTATTGCTTAGCAACACTATTTCAGTTAGGCTGTTTTAAATTTAAAAGTTCATTTCACGTTCTCTATCACTAGAGCACCTTAATATTAAGGCTTAGTAATAGGTATGCGCAGGATCTGCGCGGGATCACATACAAATTATGCGTATAAAATATGCATGATTTTTTGGATTCTGCACAAGATTTTTAATATGATCCCCAATTTAGGCTAGTTGGTCGCATTAACATAATTTTATAACTTATAATGTAATCTTATCCTGCATATAATGCACAGATTACGCGCATAACCCGCATCTCATGCAGGATATTTTGGAAAACCGTAATTTGCCTATCACTATTAAAGCTACTTGAATTTGAATTTTTGATTAACATTACTTTTAGAACTCTTGGGGGAGAGAGGGGGAAGGAGATAAAATAAAACGAACATATAGAATGAACAAATATGAAATAATTTAATTGGTTGATGTAAATAGAGAGATTAGTGAGAGTTATCTAGCATTTTGATTTCTTAGGAGGAGCCTTCAGCTGAGGGGAAGTGATATTAACTGAAGAATCAAATTCGAATAGTATAAACAAACTAATAGAATGAGAATAAAAATATAAATAAATCAAAAACCCTCCCAAGTATAAATAAACTCAAATCAGGTACAATTTAAACCTAATTTGGGTCTGTTTAATTCCCCTCCCCTTAAAGCAAATATGAAAAAGGAACATTTAATGGGTCTTTAAATTCAAATAGCCTTATCTTAATGTAATGAGTTACTATTAGTTATGGGCAAATTACAGTTTTACAAAATATCCTACGCGGGATATAGTTATATGCATAATCTGTGTATAATGCGCGAAATAGGATTATATTATAGGTTTCATAAAATTATGTTAATGCAGGCCAGCTAGCCTGAATTGGGAATTATATTAAAAATCCTGCGCATTTTATGTACATGATCCATATATGATCTTTCGCAGATCCCATGAAGACTTATTACTAGTTACTATTAAATTATAGCTAAAATTAATTCTATTCTTCAGAAGTCTACTGAATGTTCTGTCTGTTTTTCTAATCTGAAATAAACTTAATCATAATTGGCTCACTACTCCTGTACTATATCTGTGCTAGCATACGAGCTAGTACACCATATTGGTACTCTATTAGTATTGCCAAGTACCTGTACTACCAACTCTAAATAATATTTATGACAATTCTACTATAGTAAAATACTATAATACTGGAATTTAGTAATTCTATTACCAACTATAGTTTCTATATAAAAAAATTATTATATCAAACTTGGATATCTGAATCAGACAAAATTTAACCTATTCAATTCTTCTCATTGAAAAGAATTAAATAATATAAATTTATCTAATTCTGATTACAGAATTATAAAATAACTTTAATTTATTATAATACTTTACTAAGATTAAAATTTATAATACATACCTGTAACATTAGTACAAAACAAAATTGATATTCTTTGTTTATTTTTTTTAAAACCAGGAATGGCTTTTTTTGCCAAACTTCTTGATAGTTCCATCTTCCAATAGAGCCCTGTTTCATCACAGTTATAAATGTTTTCCAAAGACCAGAAATTTAATATATTTTGCAATTGTATGCGATATTCAGGTAGGTTTTCTAGAGGGGTACTACTAGCTTCACTATGCCATTTATATTCATGAAGCCCAATTCGTCTTTTAAAGTTAGAGGCCCAACTATCTGAGGCTTTAAAATTAGAGATTTCCAAGAGCTTTGCAAATTCTTGTGCTTGCAATATTAATGTGTAACCTGAAATAATTAGATTTGCTTCCAAAGCTTGATAAACCCATATTGCTAAAGCCTTTTCAAGTTCAGGAAACTTGGGAATTCGATTTCTCTAAACCTGTGCTTCATAGCTATTTGGGTCTAAATTAACCCAATATTCAGTTTCTTTTAAGATATCTCAAACAGAATTTTTACTAATTGAATAATATATGGCTAATTTATCATTAGTTAATTGAGGATTATTTAGTTTCATTAAGCAAAGTTCTTTTTTTTGGTAACCTTTTAATGTAGATTTTTTTTTTGGCATATTTTTACTTAATTTTAACTTAGATTGTAAGGATTGTGAGGAGTTTAATAATGAAGAACTTAATTTTTTTGATTTCATATTTAAATTTAATGCGTAAATTAAACATAAATTTATATATTTTATTTGTATATAAATTTATTTATATAGATTATATAATATATATATATAATATGTAAGATAATTATATATATATATATATTATGTAAGAAATTTGAAATTTATTTTCTAAATTTAAAAATATTGTTACAAATAAATAATAAATTATCTAATCTAATACTAACACTAAATATATTTATTATTATATAATAAGTATTAAGTAATATACAAAAGTATAATTTTAATCTTAATTTAGATTATATATTATTTTTCTTTTTAATAGTAAATATAGGTTGCTTAACAGGTGATATATGCTAAATAGATAATAAATTATAAAATTTATGTAGATATTTGCTAAAAAAAATAAAAATAAATCTATTATTAGATAT